AAGTTTTACACCACATGTTCCGCCATGTGCTTCTCGTCCGCGTTTGTTTACGTCAGAGTGTGCACACGTCTTTCACGCAGCATACAGTGGTGTTGTGCATTTTGACCAGTTGATGGGAAAAGTATTCTTAAAATGCATTCAAAATTCTGAATAATTTGTAATATATAATTATTCACGGTATTTAGAAGTGCCCACCATAACAATATCGTGCATATTCATTACCGTGATATATCGCATTACCGAATACCGGCATAAGTCTAATGGACATTCAAGATATGAAAGTAGGGAAGTGGAGTTAAAGAGTTCGTAACCATAGCTATACAAAAGTGCACAAAAATAATTTACTGTTGATCAACACTTGCTGCAGTCTTTTTTGGAGAATCCAGAAACTCCTACACTGGTGAGCTAACTTTTCCCGCTTTCTTTTGTCATCTCCACTGACATGAATTTGTTCTACAGTAGTAGGTATACTGCGTTTGTCTGGTTTTTTTTATATATATATTATTTTGACAGGTGGATTAAGCATTAAGGTGCAATATTGCCTCCTAAGTTTGCTGACAATGTGATGCTCTTTAGGTGTTCAGATGGTTAAACCCTCTCTGAAAAGCCATACACATTCAGATGAATATCTTTTGGAAGTTGTTGTGCATTTCATGCTGATTTTGAATGTTCTCTAATTAGCCTTTTTAAATGCAAGGACATCTCCCTATGAAAACACTCCATAAGGTGTCCAATAAGGGTCAGAGTTTCCTTAAAGGCATAGTTCACTCAATAAAATGAAAATTCTGTCATTTACACACCTAAATATCATTCCCAATCTGTATGACTTTCTTTTTTCTGTGGAACACAATAGAAGATATTTTGAGAAATGTCAGTTGTTGTTTTTTTGCCATATTATGTATGTCAAGTGGTCACCAAAGCTGTTTGGTTACCAGCATTCTTCAAAATATCTTTTGTGTTTCTCAGAAAAAAAGTAAGTCATACATGAGGATGAGAGAATCTTGATATTTAGGTGAACTATTCTTTAAAGACTGATCAGTCAAGTAGTCATTTCAGGCATCCAACCAGTCATTGTTGAACACCAACATGCATGCCATTTATACCTAGTGTTTTTGGGGTTTCCGGCCTGCTGGGGGGCAGCGAGCAGGCCACACTGTCAGGGGAACTCCTGGCTATGATGTACGGCCTGGGGTCCACTCAGGAGTGAGAAAGTTCAGGTTTATATGGGCCGGGCTCTAACAGCTCAATAACACAGGCCCGTAATCTACTCGGGTTTCAAACACAGGGCTGATTTACGAGCCAGCACGCCACACCGGCATTGAAATGAGGTGTTCAGCATATGTTTTGTTGACATAAATTTAAAATTTATTGCCGTTGTCAAAACTGACTGTTAGACAAAGTCGCTTATTAACCGAGTAAATGGCTTGAGAGTTTTATGCCTGCTTCCTTAATGACTACAGTCAGTCTGTTTCAGGCACACAGAGTGCACCCCTCCCCTTTCTCTTCTGCTTTCACACTCACACCATCTACAGTTTCTGTGGCAAAGCCAGAGCACAGCTGGTTGGAGAGGCCTGAGGGGAAAAGGAACTGCCATAGTTCACACATACAAAGTGTGTGTGTCTTGAAGAGGTGGGGTGCAGGGGCATATATGTCCCATAAAATCTATAGAGGCTTTACTTCTGGTTGTCCAGAAATTAGAAGTTGTCGTAATTGCAGGGGCAGGTGCCCCGGCGACTTTGCCTTTACGACAGGACTGCCGCGCTCCATGCTGGAAGCAGGTTTGAGCATGTCATATTCAGGGTCGTCCTGTAAAAATGAAGCACAGATAAAACTAATTACCTCCCTCTGATTTTAAGCAAACTGTGGTATTGCATGTAAACGTCTGACTATTTCAATAAAGGTCAAATCAAATGCAGTCACTCTTCAGTAGGTTTGGGACTAGGGATGCATGATAGATAGTGCTGATATGTATTTTCATGTCATAGCTAACAATCAACATATGACCAATACTATTGACTACCAATATATGACCATTACTATATAACCAACACTATTTTGTCTTTAAATCAAAAATAAAACTTTAAACTAAGTGGCTGGCACTGTTTTGTTAAACGTATTTAATTAAACATTTAAATACTACAAATTAATTTAGGCATCACATGACAGTACTATGAAAATGGATATTCATTTAGAGATTTGGTAAAGATTAGAATTATTAGTGTACTCTCAAGATCAGTTGTAAGTGAGTGTTAGATGACAGCAAAGGTAATCCAAATTTAAAATTAGGGGATATAATCATGTACAAATAAATTGTTTTTATTTATTATTTATTTTTATTTTTATTTTGTTTCTTTAATTTTGTTGTTATTTTTCCTTATTTGTTTTTAAAGCATGTCAATATAGATTTTAATTGTGTTTCAGTTATATTTTAGTTTTCAGTTTTTGAAATATATAATGATTTTCTGAAATATATATTTTATTTCAGTTAACATTTATTTTAAGTAATGAAAATGTTTTTTTTTTAATAGTTTGTTTTAGCTAACAGTCCTGCTGCCAATATATTGCGCAATCCTAATTCACAGTGACATTTGTTAAGGTAGTAAAAGTTTTGATGATTGCACAAGTCTCTTATTCTAATGTACTATATATAGTGAAAGTCCTTCCTGCCTCAAGTAGCCAGTCTGCCTTCTATCAGCTCTCAAATGTCCCCTCAGGGCTCGGAGGGTCACTCCGACAGTATGCACTCTCTGTCAGTCTCTAATCAGTGGAAGCGCGCTCTCCTCAGACCTCAGGAGAGGGACAATGGCTAGATTGAAGGCCCACAAAGGCCTTTGAGTGTTCCCCCTACAGTATCTCTGTATTGTGCCGCATTAGCACAGATCCCAAAGGTGCACAGACCCCTGGCTTTTCCCAACTCCCCCTCGCGCGCTCACTCGCCCGCCCGTCTTTTGAAGTGCCCTTTATCCTGGAAGGCGTTTACAGGCCTTTTTAATTACTTGCAGCTTGCCAAAGGGCTTTGCTGCTTCATTCTTCTCTTTGTTTGTTGGGTCTCCACAATCCCCATCTAGAAGACAGCCATCAGGATTTTGGATGCGTTGCAAGTTTTCTCTCACCCTCCCCCCCTCTTTTGTTTATTTACTGAAGTCTCTCTTTTGTGATTCTCAACCCTCAAATGGTTTTCCATTGGTGTTTTTTTTTCTTTCTCTCTCTCGCTGAGGTTAAACCACACTTCCTTGCTTCATAATTCTTGCCACTATTTCCATGTTCTGCCAACTCTTGTTTATGAGAACAGAATAAAAGCTTAAATCATTACAACCCAGCATGTGACGCTGATTCTCACAACTTCAAACCGAAACGAGGGGTTGTTTGATAAAAATAGTTATTGGTTAGTGCATCTTTATAGAAGAATCAACCAAAGAATCAATTGAACCAAACAGATTATGGATTTCACTAGCATGAAAATGACACAGTTTAAAAGAAACAAAAACCTGCCTTGTGCAGTGCGCGTTATCTATGTAGTATGAATAGAAAGCGAAGAAAGTACACGTCTTTGTTCCTCATTAAAGATGTATACATTTGGCACTAAAGTGCAAACAATGAGCTAATTACCACTCTGGAAACAATTACCAAATGCTTTAAGCATGCTAATAAAAACCAATTCAGTTCACCACTCGCAGCAAGTTGCCAGTGTTCTCGCGGCATTCTTACAAACCTAGTACTTTGAGCAGCTCGTCACTCCGCAACCCATAAAACCACTTACCTGCCATGACTGAGTTTCATATTCTTAACGAGTGGCAGTGACCAGCCTGAGTTTGTTCATTCGCTTGCATTGACTTTCGATTGTTTCTACTTGCTTATTAGCAATCGGATGCGATGCATCTGAGGATTAGTGCGGTTGAAAAGATGCAGATGCTCGAGATCTTTTGTTTTCAAGCCTGAGAAAGTCACACATGTGCATTCACTAGTTGATTTGAATCCACACATGGGTAAGGGCCAAAGCAGAATGCTAATGATTGAAATGTTAAATACACTTAAACATAGCCAGTCTGCACCAGGTTTCAGGCTTTATTCAAGGGACAGTGAAACAAAAGGAGATCTTGGTCTCTTCCTGTACTCAATGGGTCTCCATGTGGCAGTCCTGACTCACTTGGTGCCCTAGGCGAGATAAGACATGACCAAAGGGAAAAATACTTTTTTTAACTACTTGGCAGTTGTTGTTTTTTTATTTTAGTAGTTGCAAGCAACATGAGTGATTTAAAACTCGATTGGACTGAGAAAATGTAGATTTCTTAAGCAATGTTTTAGACACTTAACTACGTTAATTGCACAGCTGCTTTGAAAGTCCACTTGACTCATGCTTTTGTGTGACTCCATTCTGTTGGGTTAATCTTTCCCCGATACTCTGAGATGTTATAATTTAAGAGAACAAATGTTTCTCTTTTAGCCTCATGAAAAGTTGACCCCTGTTTGAAATGGACCCTGCAGCCAAATTCAGCCGTTATAGTCACTCTTATCTGGGGACTCATGGCCATCTATATGTTCCTGTTTAGATAAAGGGCTCCTTCATCTCCGCTTGGGGAACTGAATGAATGAATGAACAATAGGACTTTGAAAACCGCATGTGCCATTGATAATTTTCGCTTTCAAGGCATTTCATGACATCTACAGTAGTGATAGGCTTAAATATACATATGATTGTCTAAATATGGGAATAATTGGCTGAAGTGACACGGAGATGTGCAAGTTTAGTTTCATATGGTTGCAAACAATGTTTTATTCCACTCTCAAGAAGATAAACAGCGGTTTTACAAACCACACTTTAGTATTTCCCAAAAACAAGGGCTCTGGTCTTAATACCCTCCTTCTTGTTATCTGGTGTAAGAGGAGTGAAAGGACTTGTGGTGGGAAGTAAAATTATGCTATTCTGTCTTTGCCATTTAGCACGCTAGTCGAATCTCTAGTATACCCAGGTGCTTTCCTGGTTTTTGTGCGAGTGACATAAATGGTGTTGGCTGATGTTATTTTGTCCTGTTTCTCCCCGCAGGAAGCTGCACAGCGGAATGAAGACCTACGGATGCGAGCTTTGTGGAAAACGCTTCCTAGACAGTCTGCGCCTAAGGATGCACTTGCTGTCCCACTCAGGTAACATCACTAATAAGGATGCTTGTTTTTAAGGGTTGGGTTAAATTCTGAATTAATGTTCATGCATTTGAAAGTTGAATTGGAATGACAGGAAGAGGAATTGAATTGCAATCAACAGAATTTTAAATAATTTTATAGTTTAATTAAATTAGTTTTAAATAATTGTAAAAATTTTATAATTAAAATAATAATAATAACTTTGACCTATGTTTGGGTTCAGTATTTTGTAAAAATATTTTTGAAAGAAGTTGCTCATCAAGATTGCATTTATTTGATCAAAAATATAGAAAGCACAATAATATTGTGAAATATTATTACAATTTAAATTAATAAAAAAAAATTATTTTAACATTCTAAAATGTAATTTATTTCTGTGATTGTAAATGGATTTTCCTCATCATTACTGCAGTCTTCAGTGTCACATGATCCTTCAGGAAATCATTCTAATATGTTGGGTTGGTGCTCAAAAACAGTTGAAAACAGTGCTGCTTAATATTCTTGTGGAAACCACATTCATTCTTTCAGGATTTTTTGATAAATTAAAAAAAATAAAACAAACAAAAAAAACTTAAAGAACAAGTCTTTTGTAAAAACCTTTTGTAGCATTATAAATGTCTTTACTGTCTCTTTTTGATTAATTTAATGCATCCTTGCTGAATAAAAGCATTAATTTACTTAAAAACTCTAATCTTACTGACCCCAAACTTTTGAACAGTAGTATATTTCTATCTATTCTATAGGTCGAATCCTGGAATATCTACATTTGTTTCCAGTTATTTTTTTATTTTTTTTTCTGGAGTGGAGAGTCTTTTCATTAATAGAGAAGTGCTCTTTTCGTGGTCTGTAGTGAATCTGGTTTATATAGAGTCTATAAAAGCAGTGGGACTCCAGGTTTCCAGCCCAGGCCAACAGGAATCTACCTTCACCTCCCTCTGTGATTGCCAAATTCACAGGCCAGAGAAGCCAAAGTCCTTACCGCACAGCAGATATGCACAATAGTCAAATTTTGTAGACTTTTTGCCCCCCTATCGAGCGCACTCATGTTTATGATAATTAAGAGCGAGTGCTGTGCCGAGGTAATTGATTCCACAGTAATTAGGGGTTTAGATTAGATTAGATTAGTTAAAAAAACAACTCACAGATTACACCACCAAACCTTTCCAACTTTCCGCCTCGCAGAGGTGGAATATTTCAATGTCAATATCTTCATATATTGAGATGAGATTGACTTTTTGCAGGGACGTTTAAAAACGTGGAGTGGAGAGATGAGTGACATCTCACGCTGGGCCGCCCAATTCAATTTATGCACGACTCAGCATGGCAGACGCTGCTCTAAGGAAATATCTAATGTTTATTTTAGAGGCTGTTCAAATCCCAAGATGCATGTTCAATAACAGACTCTGTGGAGATATTGTAGTACTCATGCGCTCATAATGGCAGCCCACGGAGCATGTACTGCATGGTGACATTTATGAGAGCTGTTCTGCGATGAGACAAATAGGCCGAGTCTGAACTCCGATGAATACCTCTGTTTGGTATTCCGCACTGACCTGCAGAGACGCCTGTACTCGTGCGAAAGTATGTTCCGTGTCATTATAGTAATCCAGAAATCCTTATGGGAGACTGGCTTGTGCAGTTTGGATAATATGGCTGCGGATAATCCTGCGCTCAGAAGCTGGGTTGCATGAGACTGTGGGCTAGAGAACGCTTCAAAAAGGCCTTTGAAAAGCCACTGACTTGCTCAGTGACTCTCCAAACAGAAGGACTGAGTGCCATTTGATGTGTTGTTAGTGTTTGCGGGGCCTCACACTTCACCCTCTCTGGATTACTGCGGGAGTTTACTGTAGTCCGAATGTCGGCCCCTGCGGCTCAAGTGTCCTCCGCTTTAAACGTAGTCTCAAATCTCTTTTTTTCAAACAACAATGCTGTTTTTTTAAGTTGTACCACGTGATTCTTCCTCGTCCTGTTCCACTTCCTCTTCCTGTTCTGCTTCCTCATCTTCCTTATCTTTTTCTGCTGCTTCATCTGTTGCTGCTGATGCTTCTCCTGCTGTCTTCACCTGTTGCTTTTTCTTCTGTTGCTTCATTCTTTGCTGCTGCTTCCCTATTCCTCTGCTGTTTGTTGTTTTTCTACTTATTCATCTTCCTCTGCTACTGCTTTTACTCTTCCTCTGCTCTTCTTCTTCCTTTTCTTTTGCTGCTGCTTCTTACTCTGCTGCCGCTTCTCCATCTATTGCTTCTTCCTTTGCTGCTGCTTCCTTTTCCTCTGATGTTTTTGTTGATTTTCTACTTGTTCATCTTCCTCTGCTACTGCTTTTACTCTTCCTCTTCTTTTGCTGCTGCTTCTTTCACTGCTTCTGCTTCTGCTTCTTCATCTATTGCTTCTTCCTTTGCTGCTGCTTCTGGTTCTTCATCTCTTGCTTCTGTTGTTGCTGCTGTTTCCATTTCCTCTGCTGTTTTGTTGCTTTTCTACTTCATCTTCCTCTGCTACCGCTTGTACTCTACTTCTTCCTCTTCTTTTGCTGCTGCTTCATCCTCTGTTTCTGCTTCTCCATCTATTTCTTTTTCCTTTGCTGCTACTTTTTCCTGTGCTGTTTTTTTTTTTTTGCTTTTCTGCTTCATCTTCCTCTGCTACTGCTTTTACTGTTCCTCTGCTCCTCTTCTTCCTGTTCTTTTGCTGCTGCTGCTTCTTCCTCTGCTGCTGCTTCTCCATCTATTGCTTCTTCCTTTGCTGCTTCTTTTTCCTGTGCAGTTTTTGTTTTTTTTGCTTTTCTACTTCATCTTCCTCTGCTACTGCTTTTACTGTTCCTCTGCTCTTCCTCTGCTACTGCTTTTACTGTTCCTCTGCTCTTCCTCTGCTACTGCTTTTACTGTTCCTCTGCTCTTTTTCTTCCTGTTCTTTTGCTGCTGCTGCTGCTGCTTCTTCCTCTGCTGCTGCTTCTCCGTCTATTGCTTCTTCCTTTGCTGCTACTGCTTATTTTTCCTCTACTTCTTCATCTTCCTCTGCTGATGCTTTGCTTTCTCTGCTCTTCTTCTTCCTTGTCCTCTGCTGCTGCTTCTTCTGCTGCATCATCTGTTGCTTCTTCAGTTGCTGTTGCTTCTTCCTCTGCTGATGCTTTTACTCTTCCTCTGCTCTTCTTCTTCCTCTTCGTTTGCTGCTGCTGTTTCTTCCCCTGCATTTCTTCTGCACCACTACCTCCTTTTTCTTCATCATCTCTATCTTTTGCTGCTTCTTCCTTCTATCATCATCATCATCATCAGCTTATTCTAATTCTCTCCTCCATCTTCATAAAATTAATATTAGAATAAGCTGTTTTACTTAAGGTCAATTTTCACATCAGAAACAGGTGTTTTGAAGTGCTCCCTTCTGAACTTATCTCGGATTTCTGAAACAAACCTGATGGAAAACACCAGAAGACATGCGATGATGGGATCTGCACATGGGCTATGTTCATTAAGCACTCTGCCACATACAGTTTCTGTTTTTTTGCTAAAATTACATCACCTTTGTAAAGTTGAGCCAAAAATGAAAAATGTCTGTAATCACGATAGCAGTTTTGCATTTAAAACGGCAGAAGAACCAGTCATAATTCCTTAAGATCTTTACCAAAAGAATCAGCCCCAGACAGCCTCCCTCAACAGGCAGAATAAGCGAGCATTGCGAGGCGGCTTATTTTTAGTGCATCAAATCAGAACACAAAAAAACCCCTAGAACAAAACAGTTTTAACGTTCATATGCTCGATGCTTGACACACAGCGCTAACCTGGTTTTTGTTTGTAGCAGTCTGGCTCTTGAGAGCTTCACTCTTGTGTAATGCTCAAGCTTTTCAGTGGAAACACTTTTATAGACACAGACAGTGGCAGAGAGGCAGAGACACAGCGCGGCTCTTTGATTGTTTTGTTTTGTTTTTTTGTTGCTTTGTTCTTTCATTGCAAACTTTCTGTTTCTGTTCTGAGCGGTTTGATTTTTATCAGTGACACCAAGCAAGTGGCTTTGCCCTCCACCTCCTCCGCTCCCTCATCTTCAGGAGAAGGTGCTGAAGAATGGTATTAGGTATGTGGTGTGTATTGTGGTGTACCATTTCAGTCACACACACACACACACCCTCGCTCCTCTCGGCTGGTGCACGCCCTCTCTGTTTGTTTTATTGTGGACTTGGCAGGGCGCCAGTCTGGGCCGCCTGCCACAACCCAGGGTACAGTATGTACAGTGAATCTTGCGCCAGTTTTTTTTTTCTTTCCTGTGTTGTTTTTTTTGAAATTATTGTCTGACAGCAGCGGTTGTGGTGGCTGTTTTGTTTTGTTTTTTTCTTCTGGGGCTTTCGAGGCCTCACGTCCTGGAGTTTGGGTGGAAGTGCATTGCGGTGAGAGGCTGATAATGGAAAAGTGTGTGTGTGTTTTCTCAGGTTTAAGGTCAGCATGGTCTGGGAGCTGCTGGGTAGTGAGGCAGCACACCACTGGAGCAAAAAAAGGGGGGAAAAAAGTGACTCTTTTGGAGCACGGCTAGGCTATTAGTGTTATGTGAGCTTCCCTTGTGACTTCAAAGAGTGCAGAGCATGGTCTGGGTAGGCTAGCCAAGGGACATATTTTGATCCATTTTTGAAAGAAGAGGCAAAGCTTTTTGCTGGGATTACAGATCAGCATAGGCTGTTTGGCATATATCATCCGTATTTTTAACTTTTAAATGTTTTTTTTTAATCTGCAGCTTAACTGACTATAGCTGTTAGAGGTCAACAGCGATTGTATTAATATAATGTAAAACTGTTTTGTATTAAAAATACATTTTATTTTATACCTCTTGATATATTTTACATATAATAATAATAATAATAATAATAATAATAATAATAATTGTTCTGTATATGCATTTTAAAATTGTCAAATGTTTTTATGTATATTATATATATATATATATATATATATTAGAATTTTTTTTAAAAAGATCTCAT